CAAAAGTAGTTCATTGGAATTACAAATTACTTTTTAAAAGTAATGCAATTACTTTACAATTACTTATTTCTGAGAGTTACCCCCCACATTGGGCCATATAACTGTAAACGAGTTATATGGCCTCTGTATAAATGTCACGCATTGTACTTTCCTTTTATGAAATTTGTTAAATGGATTATAGAACTTAATAGTTTGGAGTAATGAACTCCTGCGTTCATATATTCTCAAAACATAAAAAATGGCGACAAAATTCACAGGTGCGAGGTGAATCTCCTTAGAGCTTATGCAAATGATATCCAAGTCAAACCAAGAAAAAATAAACTTAAAAATAATACAAGGAAACAAATATGCGACAGTACTGGTATCATAAAACTCACGTAAAAATGGCTAATAAGAGAAACTTGTAAACGACGTCAAACATTTAAAGGATACGACAACTTACGAAAACATTTCAGCCACGATGATTCGCTGCCTCTCCCTGTCTGTGGACTTGTAACATGCCGGATGCGGGTAACCGTAGCACGCGAACTGTGGTCGCTTCCACAAAACTAGTGTCACAATAGCAGCAACTCTATTGCCAGGGATTCTGGGTTAATTCAGTGCACGGTAACACCCAAAAAGCTCCTGAGATAAATAATAAATTTAGGATCGTCTTGTAGCTAATCATTAGGATAGCAATGGTTGTATCGATGTTATGCGTTTCAGAAAGAAGACCGATTTGAATTTAGCATGGCAAGAACAACCTCGAAAAATTCATGATACACTGCAAACGACTTTATTTTCGCGAATTGCGCGAATCGCCTACAATTCGCGAAAAAAATGTAAACATATCGGAATCTATATCGCGACCGCACCGCGTCGCGAAAATTAGAATCCGCGAATTATTCCAAAACTGCGGCCTCTTGGACGCCTCGATTTCACGATTTACTTGATCGTGTTTCAGCTGGAAGATATAGACAAGCTATTAATATTATTATTATTTTTATAACTGTAAGTATTATTCAAAGTAACAAGAAAGTTGCCTACCTGCAAGTGTTTCCGCAAATTGGAGGTCCCTTTCGGTTTATTGAATTTGTTTTCAGAAACGGTGCGGAGAGTTTGCTCCTCACGATTATAGTTTTTTACATTGGTGCTAATCTGTTTAGAGCATTTTTCGCAACAAGGCCTCGGCAGCCTTTCCTTTTCCATTGTAGATAAGACTGTTGCAGCTTCTCAATGCAAAGCAGCACTGCGCGCCTCGGGACGGTTCCACAGGCCAAGACGAGAGGACAACGCGTGGAGGGTCACGATAGAGGTGTAAAAACAAAGTGCAAGGCAAGCCCTCTATAAAAAAAGAAGCCTTCAACGAACAACAAATGCAAAAACAAGCTCCCTACAGCTAAAGCCGCGGTTTGTAAGTTTTGGAATCTCGTCCAATCAGGCTGACAAACGGTTGAAAGGGTTAGGTAGAGCGAACACTAAATAATGAAGATTTATACAAAAAGGTAGACGAGGATTGGGAGAAGGAAGAGCAGTGTAGCAAGAACAGTTGGAAGTAAGGCAGGGTGAGTCGTGTTAATGAGACCTGAAGCTTCTTTGCTTCTTCGCCTCGATGTTAGAGTAGCTCGACTTGCTGTTAGTGGTATCAACATACGAGATAGAGGAGAAGGACGTGAAAAACTCAAAGAAAATAGAATAATTTCATGAACAAAAAAGTTCCAAACCTGACTGAAATATGTAAGCGAATATGCTAGCGGCGAAGACGCGAAAGGAGAACCTCGAACCTCCCCGCCTCGACCGAATGATGTGATCGGAGCCAACCAACTCGACTTCGACCTCCGATGCCCCCGTGTGGGAATGAGAAATAAGAAAGACCCCTAGAAGCAGGAGCAACAGGAAGCAAACGAGACGAAGAGTCAGATTCAACTACGACAGGAACGAAAACGGACGCGAATGTAGCCCTCATTTATCAAATTATTTCTCAAATTCTTCATTAAATCGTTTTACAGTCTACAAAATCCTCCATTCCGTTCTATCCCAGCCTCTCTTTCCCATCCCTCTTTTCCTTTTTTTCGAGCAGGTTGGGAGACACACTCGCCCCTGTCGCTTTGACTGTGCTGTCGTCTCCGTGGTCAGGGGGGAAAAGCGCCGCCGCCACAAAATCTTGCATAAGTAATTGTAATTGTGCCTGAAATTTAGCAATTACTGACGCTAGAAAGTAATTAAATTACAATTACAATTCATTTTAGCCAAAAGTAATTATTGCAATTACAAATTACCAGGAAAAGTAATTAAATTACTGTAATTTAATTACTGTAATTGAATTACTACCCAAGTATGACCTGTACGGGTTGACCCGTTTAGGTAAGGGAAGCCGTGCCTGTACGGGTTGACCCGTTTAGATATAGGAGCCCGTACCTTACAGGTTGGCCCATTCAGATATAGGAACCAATATTTATACAGATTCACCTGTTCAGATAGAGAAACCTCTATCTTTACCCGTTGTGACAGAGTAATAGGATTCAACATGGTGTTGAACGTTTGCATACGGACGTACGGATCTTTGCAGGTTTAACAATTCGCATGCATTTGTTATGCAAAGAATGAGCATGAACCAGGTCATTTCAGGTTATATCTGTATTTAGTGAAGGCAAATTGGCATACTGCAGAACATCAACAAGAAGCTTAACCTCTAAGCAAGCTTAGAAGTCAAGCTTCTTGTTAATATCCTGCAGTTGGATATTAACAAATTGGCATACTGCAGTCGGTTGACCCGAGCTGTCCTCTTTCCTGGAGAGGCCTCTCGAGGATGCCTCCATATGTACTCGTTGAAGGCATCTGCAGGGGAAAATAATACAACAATAAGTCATGTATATCTAAAGTTTCCTGAAAAATTTAATATTTTACTTCCTGCAATTATAAGCAAGCAATTTCCACTACAATTTATGCTTGGTTAATATCTTGTGATACCATGTAGACTCCAAGAGCAACTTCTTACGATTACGCAGTCTGCTGAAAACAGCAGGTATGCATGATTCGGCCAGAAAGTTTTGAACCAGTTCAGACCGAGTTCGGAGGAGTGCAGAAGCAGTGCGCAAGTCGGGCTGCGGCTGCGTGAAGTTAAGCTGCAGCGTTACAAACGACCCTGTAATTGGTTTCCGAAAGACCGAGGGGTTGCCACCTGTTACTGCATGAACGCTGAACTGACTTCAGCCAGCGCAAGATTCTATGGAACTGAGGCTGAACTCGTGCAGCACTGGGATAAATCGAACAAGTCAGTTCAGCGTCCAAGCAACTTCCGATTGAATCTAATGCATCAGTTCTTACACTATCTGAACTATATCGGCTGGTTCAAGCAAATCGAAAAGACCTAGTGTGACTTCCCACAACTATGCACTTAAAGTTTGCTAGCAACAGAGTGTTCCTTGCATTTCAGTGTCTATAAAAATTATAGACCCTGGAGCACGGGGACAAAAAGGAACGGAAAGACACGAAGCTCGGGAGCTTTATGTCTGTCTGACCCTTTTTGTCCCCACGCTCCCGGGTTACTACGTCTATCCTTAACCAGCCCGCCTGCCTGTTAACTAAAATGAAAGTATGTTGTATGAATCGAAATATGTATTTTCAATTCTGAACATGGGCCTCCGATTGCCTCGAGCCTCGAACACATTTCATGCCCAACAATGTCACCATAGAAACGACTGAAAGGAACATTGAACACACAATCCTCGGCCGGCGGTTTTTGTGCGAAAGAAAGACTTTGAGCCGCAAATGTTGTTCTGGGCATGTATATAAATTAACAACACAGATTTGACATCAAGAATCATTTAACAAATTTACTATCCGAGTCACCACCGTTCAATAGTCCATACATACGTGATAGGAGGAATACCCGCGATGAGATGGTAGTTTAGAAAAAAATGGGCAGTACTCAAAGGACAGAGCCAAACATAGTTCGGTTGCAGCAGCTCCAGTGGACAAACAGACTCGTTTCATAACTTTGCTAGTGCCAGCTTTTCGTTCAAAAGAAAAAAATAAGTGCCTCACAGCTCCGCCGGGGAGCTAGCAGAAGGTCCTGCGAGCAGGCCACTGATATCATGGACCTCCCCCAAAACTTGCAGGGATTAGCAGATATTTGCGACGCGGAGCATGTTGCTGTAAAACCTCCATAGTGTGAATGCTTCAGAAAGTGCCAAGCGACCTAGATGACCGTGACAAGGTCACTTTATTTTTCTTCATATATTAAAAACAAAGAAGGAGATAGGGCTTCTTCATTTCGGTTTTGCTCTCGGAGCTTCACGTTCCTAAAGCTTGAGCTAGTCGAACTGTGACCCTTCAACAGCCTATAACACTGAAAGTTCTGAAAGCCTTGGAATATTTTATCCCATTCATTTTGCCGTAGCAGATTGCAACTTCGGAAGCCATAAGGTTTGAATGTCTCACCAAGTATGAGACATCTGTGAGAAGTGGGCACTTACTGCTGACTGCTGCCAACTTGACTGGACTGGAGTCAGGGCCCTCTGGGCCACGGCGGCCTTGAAGCGCCGTCATGGCACCCCTCACACTCGGCCGATGCAGGTCCTCCCTGCCGAAGATCAGCTTCGTGGCCTCTTTAACGAGGATGGAGTCTCCCCGGGCTCCCCTGACGTAGGACAGTTTGTACTTTTGCACCAAGACACCGTTGCGAAGGTGAACCTAGAAATAGATAGAAATGTTCTACAGGAAATGCAGCCAGCCATTGGTCCCAATCTCGATCTTTCGGAAACTTGTGCAGACGTCTGCCGCACAATGACACTTTTTTTGGACGCAGGACATGCGAGGCAGCTTTTCACGCAACATCTCGGTGGTATTCTTTTCGGAGCTGATCACGGAAATTCACCACGGGCACTCACTACTCATCTCCAACTTCTCAATGTACAGAACAACTCATCTTGAAGTGCAGAACAGAAAGCGGAACAAACATAACTGCAAAGGAATCGCATAGCAAACAGTTCCAGCCATGCATATTGTCTGCTGTACACACAAAAGAAAAGGACACGAAAGGGAAAACAAAAAGCTCACAGTCGGGTGTAGCCACGTGACCTCTTCCACTCACTATCTCCTCTCCACTTCTTCGACCTCCGTGCACAGGTTTCTGCTTCGGTTCTGAGCAGTTACGTTTTCTGGCTTTAATAAAAATATATGTGATTCTGTTGCAAAATATTAATTATGTAGTCTTTCGACACCATAACAAATCGCCTGGCAAAAAATGAAACTTTGGGGGGGGGGGGGGAGGTTGTAAGTGTCCGTTTAAGTGAGTTCTGAGTAAAGAGAAAGAGCGAAAGAATGGTACTAATTATAACGGAATTTTAATCTGGGCTCGTGGTACACGATTTATGAACAAGCTCGAAATAAAACGAGGACACTAGATAGAAGACGTTGCAGAAAAGCGCCAATTAATTGGGAAGAAATATCTTATCAATGCCCGATTCTACTCTTTACATTCATCAGCATTTTGAAGCAGGACGATGGTTCAATTTAAGGAAGCATACAAATAACCTCATTCAAGGAGCTGTGGAAACCATAAAATGTAGTCACTTGCCCAATATCTGAAATGAATATTCAATGAAATTCTGAACTTGCCTCATCATCGACCTCTGCAAGCACTGGCATACACTCGGGAGGTGCCTCCAGAGGGCCTGCTACAAGAACCGCTGCTGGAACAGCAGCACCAGCGGCCGGTACGGGTTGAGTGTGATCTACACCAGCTCGCACAACGCGAACTGGAGCAGGAGCACCAGCTGCAGGGACTGCTGCTGGGCAAGCTGTAGGAGCTGACCCAACACCGCCAGACGGGACATTGTCCACTGCAACATAATAAAGCACTGTTTAGAAACAAGACACGGTACAGGAGTCAACAGATTTTTCGGACGCCAAAAATTCAGACATGCTTGGTTATTCGGACTTGAGCACTTTCCTGGTCCGTTGATGGCATGAGGGCTTCATAGTACTTCATGCCACAGAAGACTATCGGCAGTGTGCCTATTTGTTTTTCCGTAACACACCGGGACTGAAAAAGTGGTGCGAGCAGAACACAAAAAAAAGGACGAGACACAAAACCAAAAAAGAAAAAGAGGAAAAAAGGAAATGCGCTCAAATTCGCCGGCAGTGGGCGGCAGAAAGCATGTTTACAAAAAATACCGGTGAATGGCTCATGAATATTCATACCTAGCACTTCCGACGGTTTGCGAGATATAAGCTCAATCTTTTTGACGAAATTCAATGCTGTAGCAGATCATCTGGCCACCTTTTAACCAGTTGCACAGTTGCGTAGCTAGGCACAATCTGCCGCCCTATTAAAGTTCAGCCTTGTTGGTGCTGTGGTCATGCCTACGACCAGCTTCCTCACTCCCTCCTCCTCAGCAAAAAGAACTCCTTTCTCCCCAATGACGAAAGGACGTCTGCTGGCCGGGCTCATCGGAAAGTGCATATTTACAATGTTGTGACCGACAGAACAAACTTTCACTTCAAGCCTCATCTATGCGCACAGACCATGGTGTCTTGGTATGGACATGATTGTTTTACGAACTGCAAAAAAATATTTCTTCGGTCAAAACAAGTGGTGCCAAGCAAAACGGGGTCATCGCCATCAGCAACAAGAAACAAACTCTCAAAGCTCCATTTGCACCCTAAGAGAAGAAAAGAGAATTATAGACACCAACTCATTGATACTTTGAGGATACCCTGTAGTATATGCTTACTTCTGTTTGCAACCCCAAAAAAATTAAAGTTACTTTTCATCCCTCGGATAAAGTGTGAGCAGATAATGTGTCGTGTTTGAGGTGGGCAACTGAAAGTGCCTCCACGCTTACCCAGTAGTGCCAGCAGCTGCTACTGCAGTCTTCTTGATAGCATCCTCTCTATCTGGAGCTCCTGCTCCAGGTTGACCACCCTCTGCTTTGCCGACCGCAGCTTTTCAACCAGTCAGGCATGCTCCACAAGCGACACAGTGGACGTCTTGTCCTCCGTCTTCTTTTTTCTTGTACTTGCCACCCACTGCAGGGGATGGCGACATCTCAATCTGGAAAAGAAAAAGGTCCACGCATTTCAATATTCATTTAATATTAACTTCCGACACAGGATTCGGACACACATAGTTCACATTAAACTGCCCCCCTCCCCCCTTTATTTTCTAGGTGTATGTTTCAGCCCAATACCTGTGATTGCTCCCTCCCCCTGAAAGAATGCTTCCAGATGCCCATGACCATATATACGGTATTCACTGTCATTTCAGCAAATAATTGCTACGTCGTAGTTTACACACTCTAGTGTGTAAAGGACGATACGTGTATCTGTTTGCGCTACGTGTACCTGTTGGCAGAAAACACTGTATAGGTAAACGAAATAGTATGATAAAATATTGTGTTAAAAGGTACTTCTCAGTTAGTTAGAAAGTAAATTATGATTAGACTGCTTTGCACCCAGTGTACTTTCTATGAGGTACGTAAACTCTCAGTTACTTTGTGCTTGCAATCCAGTACTTTTAAATACGATAGCATTTATAGCAAACCCTATGCACTTTAGGCCTCCATTGGTCCGAGGATTTGTAACTGCTTTTGAAAACAGCATGCGCCGGCACATTATAATTCAAAAAAGAAAAACATGCGGCCGGCACTGTGCCTCAAACCCACAACTGTTGGGGTCTAAGCCGGGAATCGTATCCGGTTCACTACGAGCACACATGGGCAAGCATTTGCGAAAGAGTTACTGGGTGCAGGCAAGAGCTGCATTGATGCACGTGCCAGTGGCTCAACGCCGTTGTTGCCATAGCAATGAGTGTCAAATCTGGTGGCAGTCGCGCATAGCCACATCTGAGGAGAGCACTGTGAACCTAACTTGAGCATTATCTATCGTTGTCGGTATGCGAAAGCAGGTCTCACCAGAGAAACATACACGCAAGCGTGCTGAGGCACAGCGACAGCAAAGGGCCTAGGGCACTTCGGAACAACATGAAACATGTTTGGTGAAAGCTAGAGAGGAAAGTAGCAACAAGAGGACCATCGAAGCGGATGAAAAGATTCAAAGGAGAAAACTTTGGCTGCAACGCAAGCAGGACGCCAAACGAACGAGGACGTCTTGCGATAGTGGAGAAGGGATGCACCTTCGAGTATAACGAGATTGAGACTTAGAGCAGGTGAGGACGCCTGGTAAGACTGAAGAGGGTCAAATTCAAATATAATGCGGGCGAAAAACAAGCAGGAGAGTATCTGTTAAAATTGAAGACGGAGAACTTCGGCTACAGCACAATCGAGACCAGGAGTGGCCAAGCTGCGGCTCTTTGTGTGTTAAAGTGCGGCTTGTGGTCCACTTTCATAGAGCGTATCTACCCACCGGATCTGTGTAACAGAATAGCGAGCAATTTAATAAAAAATGTCTATACAAATAGTCCTGACCAGCCATAATGAATGGACACAATTATAATAATAATCTCTATTTGGACTCCTTGAGTCTCAGGTGGAGGGGCAAAAGGTAAACAAATTTACCTGACGGGGCCCCACCACCCTGTACATTGCTCAGCAGAGAATAAAAACGACAATAAATCTTATAAAAAAAATGTGTCACTGTGCGAAACGAAAAACGAAACAATCCTTCTACAGAAAAATGAATTATTAAAGTACAAACTGGCAGGAGCAATGAGCTTTCAAGCGAATTAACACAAATAACGGTGATCAGAGCTGATTATACGCTATTCAACCCAATGCATAACCAAAACGCAATTTCCTATTGTAAAATATAGCGTTTCATGTTACCTTCGAAGGCAATAAGGGAAGTAGCATTCCTCATTAATTCAAAAACACTTGGATGATCGTTCAAAAGCTGTGGTATTTTATACGCTAGAGCTTGGGAGCCGTAATTCGTCCGTATTTTGTGCTTTGTGTATATTTCATTTCTTAAATTATATTGTGTTGTTTTAGGGTGGTAGATGTCACAAAATTCATTTTGGTCACCGCTGTACTCGCGGTATATTATCATCGCTAGCTTTAAAAGAAAGAGCTGATGGATATTTAAAATTCGATATTTGACAAAATATGGGGCTGAATGATCGGTACAATTACTCATGAGGCGAACAAAATGTAAGAAATTCCTTAGCCTAACCGTGCAATTTTACCCACAATTACTGCCCACTGGTAACAGAAGTGAAGTATGGTGCCGATTTAAAAAAGGGACACAAAAGACGAACTTAAGGCCGCTGGTTCTGAACAGAGTCTAAGAATGAGGTAAGAAAAACAGTTTAAAGACGCACATATACCTCGAACCTTGAGTCCAATATCATAGGGATGGCCACGTGCTTCTTTTTCAAAGCAGCAACCAGCTCACCTCGTCTCTGTAAGACAAAACATGCACATTGAGCTACATCTCAAAGTCGTGTTTGTACCCCTTCCCCTCCCCCCCCCCCCCCCACCCCTTTGTATCGAAGTTTATAAATATGATCGTTCACCAGCTAGCCTGCGCTATAACCCTTGTTTCAACAAGTCTTTTCTTCTATATTTTTTACAAATTAAATGCAGCACCTAGTCGAACTTATATGGCAAAGTTGTCGTAGCTTACAAAGCCGATTTGTTGTTATTTATTTTAAATGTCGTGGCTACCATCTCGAGCGCCCTGTAGTTCAACAATGCAAAACCCTTTACTTTTGCCGCCCAGTTGTTTACAAATCCGGCGCAAGGACATATTCGTGCCCACCACATTTCGCGAATTCTAGACGCCAGAACGGGGGACGCCGGAACGGGGGCCCACTAAATTTCCGCTTTCCACGTGTCCTTAAATTTCGCTAATTTTTGGACGTGTAGAATTTGCCAAAAATTAGGGGCTCGCGAACATTAGGGAGTTTTCGTAGACCGCGTTTCCCCCTCCGCTAATCTTTCCGCAACGAAGAAGTTACTACTGCGCCTGCGCGCCGATAGCCTTGACCGTAGAGTTCCAGGTATATAGCGAGTTGCGGAGGGCGTTGCGGGACGGCGAAAACTATCTACGAAAACTCCCTATTAACGGTTTGCAGTAAACGTTGTGCTTCGTGGCCCTGATGGGCAGAAAACAACTTACCATTCCCCGGTGCACGATCCAACAGCCTCCCAGTAGACGCTTCTCGGCACGTCGGGGTCGAAGTCGCCAACGCTCGCCGGTTTGAACATCTTGATACGGTTCACGCTGACTATTGCCTTCGCGCCATCAACATAAATCACGTACGCTTCGTAACATATCGACACCGATACACACCGATCGAGATAGCCCTAACGTCAATGCGGCTTTTGGTTTAGACAACTGGCCAGCTGGCCAGCGGCGCGGATACATAAGGATTGGATTGGATTGAAGAAATAATCTGCCTTAGTTTATATTAGTACTATTATTGCTCAAAATAGTTTTAAAACATTTAAAAGCATAAAAACTTACCATGTTAAGTTTATTTCTTGTTAAGAAAAACATTGTTTGTCCGTCGACGGTTGTTTTTCTGCAGTCTGGCTTGCAGCTACAAAATCCAATTCAATCTGATGTCAATAAACCGAAACCGAAACTACCGCGGTACAGGGCTCAAAGCTATGAAGCAAGCTCGTTTATCTCGGCCTCGCTTCCCATGGATTTGGTTTTCGCATTTTATGACTTTAAATATGCATGTCATAAAATGGTTGAGTTTGATAGCTGAAACTGTTAAATTAACTGACCTAATATGTGATTTTCTGATTAAAATTCTTTATTGACAAAAATATCACAGTTTAGTTTCGCGGTGCGCGCGTTCCCGTCGAGGTCTGATAATTTCTGGTCGCGTTAAATAGACCGACCTCACCGGCCAGTTTGACTACGCCACCGCTGCCGCAATGCAGCGAGGGAACTTTAGTTTTTGGGTACGTGCGACAACCTCGCTGGAGCTCTTCGCGTGTAGAGCACGAGAAGGCACGAGCCCTCGCGTGCACGGCCGTCTGCCTCCTGTGAACTAAGGTTATGGCGGCTTTACGCATGCGCCCAACGCTTAGTGAGATCAGTTTATTGTGTATACCGGTAGAGCCTATACAAGGTTACTGACCGCCGGTTTAAGTGCCGGCGCCGGTAAGGCGTTACCGGTCGCTCCGATACGTGGTTGCTGTTAGCCGCGCATCGATTACTGGCCACCGGTACGTTATTACGGCCCACCAGCGTGGCGTACCGGCTTCGCCTGTACGTGTTCACTCGCCGCCTGTACATGATATGGGCAACCGGTACGGCGTATCGGCTTCGCCGGTACGTGGTTACCGGCCACCGGTGTGGCCTACCGGCGTTGGCCGTACGTGTTTACCGGCCGCCCGTACATGGTATGGGCAGCCGGTACGGCGTATCGGCTTCGCCAGTACGTGATTACAGGTCGCCGGTACAGAGCTACCGGTTACCGATATGAGAATACAGGACTCCGGTGTGAACCGGTATAGGCCGGTATACAATTGTACAGGTTTTTTCAGTAGGGTTCCGTGACATTTTAGTGTTTAAGGATGAAAATGACTTCAAATGGCTATTATTGGCTATATGCATCAATGTTTTATTAGTTTGGCTTGAAATGGCTATACATGGCTGTCAGCCACTATTATTTACAATTTATGCAATTGGAGCGAGTATAGATTTGAACGACTTCAACTGGATGTTATTGGCTATAGGCATCTAATCTTTGCTTGGTTGGCTTTAATTGGCTATTTTGGGACTATAAGCATCACTTCTTGACGTGGCTGGCGTGAAATGACTCCAAATGGTGGTAAGGGACTACCATTGATAATTATTACCTATTTCGGTTTCTACCTACATGAACGGCTTCATGTGTCTCTTTTTTGCTATTGGCATCTATTTTTCACAAGACCGGAACTGACTACGAATGGCTATTCGTGATTATATATGGCAATTCTGTGCTAATTCGGTCTTCATGGATGAAAATTACTTCAAATGGCTATTACTGGCTATAACCGTGCGTTTGTAGCACATTTGCTTGAAATGACTAAATGACTAATAGCAATCAGCACGAATTATTCACTGTATATACGATTTGAGCATGTAGAGATATGATTGACTTTTACTGGATAATATTGGCTATAGCAGCTATCCTGGACAAGGTTGGCTTGGATTGGCTATTATTGGCTATAAGCATCTGTTCTGACCTGGGTGTCTTAAATTGGCTACAAAGATCCTTGGTGCTTACGAGCCGCAATGTTCTGCTATTTCATACATAGGGCAGAGCATGACTTCAAGTGGCAATTCTCGGCTTTAGCACATATTAATAAAATCAGCCTACAATGTTATAAAATGAATATTAGTGGCTATTATTGACAAGTTTGGCTACCAATGCCTAGCAATAGCCATTGCTAGCCATTTGAAACCAATTTCATAAAACTTAACGCTAATACCCAACAATAGCCACTTGAAGTCATTCCTTTATAAAAAAGCATATATTTATCAATGATAATTACTAACAGCCATATGCAGTCAATGAAAACCGATCTAATTAAAAATCAATGCTCGTAGCAAATAACAGCTGCTTGAGGCCACTCTCATGCATAAACATTGATATAACACATACTTAATTATACCTACCGGTACCTATTGGTAGTGTGATGGGTGATCCACCACGAAGAGAAGGAAGAAAATAGATGCACTGGGAATGGCGCGGTTTTTGAAACGGGGCTCGAGAAGGGCACGAGCACAGCTCGGACTCGGAAGGCGAAGCTGCGAACAGCTGTTCGGACCTCGGTAGACGTGACCAGGCGTCAGAGGCCCGACTCTGTCCCCACCTCCTCTCGTGGTCAAGGCGCCGGCCTGCCTGAGGCCGACTGGACTACCTGAGGCGCTGAAGATAACTCCAGCGACCGGGTTCACCAACATCTCCGGGAACGAGACGCTCCAGGCTAACAACTGCCGCCGAGCCCATCAACGACGAGCCCTCCACTCGGCGCTACCCCTCCATGTGACCAGGAAAAAAAAAACTCTGAGAGAGACGACACGTACGATGACATTCCGTAAATAGCCGCGGTGTAAATATTTGTTTTTTCTTTTCTTCTGATGTCTATGTCGCAATAGTGAAATATTCCCTAACGCATCCTGTGTCTTCCGTACTTCTATTAAGACCCTAAACACACGAACCACGCACTATCACAATTGGCGTCCGCGACAGGACGGAGGACACATTGGATCGTTCGGAAATAATCATTAAGCTATGGATCTCAAAGAAATTATAGAGCTAGGCAAGCAGCTAGGCCTACAAGGTGTTGAACTTCAAGAATGGGCGGACGAGAAAGTCGCTTACGAACGCGAAGAGAAGGCGCGTGAGGGGAGGAAAGGGCTGCGGATAGAGTAGCAAACCGAGAGAAGGCTGAAGTGGAAGAACGAATATTACAGTTACGCATAAGGCTAGCTGAGACGGGAGCGACAACTACTGCCGAGATCACAACAGAGGGCAGCAATAACGGAAGAACCAACTCCAGTCACATCTGTCCCCGGAAATTTATTTCTCCATACAATGAAAGGCGAGACGATTTAGACGCCTACTTGAAGCGTTTTAATTGCATTTCTAAGGGGGAAGACTGGCCAGAACCTAAATGGGCTACCCATCTAAGCATGTGCCTGACGGGAGAGGCGTTGAAAGTCTACGGCAGACTATCGCCTCGGGATTGTATCAGTTATGAAGCGACCAAGCGAGCTCTCCTGGATAGATTCCGTTCTGCAACTGAGGGGTATCGAGAGAAGTTCAGGAAATCGAAACCCGAAGAAGAGACAGCCAGCCAGTACACTGCCCGGCTTCAAGGATACTTCGATAGGTGGATGGAGGTGGGGGAGACGCCTTTAACATACGAAGCGCTGAGAGATAAGATCCTGGCAGAACAGTTCCTATCACAGTGTCACACAAAACTTACCATATTTTTGAAAGAGAGAAACTGCCAGACGCTAGCATCAATGGTTGGGGCCGCCGATCGATTTTTTGAGGCGCAACAACAAAAGAACCTCTCTTCCTTCAGAGACGACGCAGGAGCCACGTCAACCCATAGACCTAACCTCGATGCGCCGGCGTTCGCGAAACCTAAATGTTTCCTGTGTGGCAAGCTCGGTCACAAAGCACGAGAGTGCAGAAGTAGTTTCCGGCAAAAAATTTCATCCTGTTCGTTTTGCCAAAGAGAAGGGCATGATGTAAAAGATTGCCCCAAGAAACAAAAAAATCCGCGAATCCTGTGTATGGTGGAGCCAGAATCAGTAGAAAGCACACAAACTCCACTTGGAAACTTTGTAAAGGGATCAGGTCTTGGATCCACACAGGATGGCGATGCAGGGCTAGTTAACCTGGTTCACGAAAACGACGAGGTATTCGATGTATATAACATGCCCGTCTTACGGGGGTTGCTTAATCAACAGCCAGTCAGCGTGCTACGTGACACAGGTAGCAATACAGTGATAGTTCGACGCGACTTGGTATAAGATTCTTGTCTCACGGGAAAGACAGGAAAGGTTTTTCTCGTAGATGGCACATCCTTGCAGCTGCCGGAGGCAAAATAATGCTGCGTTCTCTATACTTTGTTGGGGAATTGATCGTATAGTGCATGGACACACCTCTCTATGATGTGATTGTAGGGAATATTCAGGGTGCACGAGGAGTTGATGAGCCGGACTCCGAATGGAAAAACAAAACGGTCCAGCAGGCCTCACAAGAACCTGAAAAGGAAGAGGCCTCGATAGACACTGCAGCAACGACTGACGTGTCAGCTGCAAATAAACTGAAGCCCTCTAACAAAAAGGGCACATCTAAGGAAATGAAAAGGCAGGAGGTCACCACCGAAGTCCTAAAGGAATATCAGCGATGCGATCGCACGTTGGAGAGTTGTCGGAACAAAATCGGAGAGATACACCACGCCAAGGATGGATCAACATACAGTTTTTATTTCTCGAAAGGAGTACTATGTCGACGTTATAAACAGGAAGGAGGTAAGGTTTTTAAGCAAGTTGTCGTCCCAGCCGCCCTGAGAACGTACGTCATGGAGGTAGCACACGACAGCGTAATGGCTGGCCACCAAGGAATGAAGCGTACCACTGGCAGAGTACTAGAGGCCTTCTATTGGCCAGGAGTGCAGGCCG